TCTCTTTAGATACTGTGAGGAAAGTTGTTTTGTCAAAGTTAAGACAACAATCTTGTATTTACTTAAATGTAATGTATGTGTACAAATGTGAGTATAAGTTAGAAAATTATTTTTTAAATATCTGTTATTATATCAAATCGGAAGAGAAGCATGCCAATGTAAAATTTGTAATTAGGTCAAAGAAGCAATCTTAGAGTAGATTAAATTTTGAATAAAACTATATCTTAATTTTTGCAATCATTAACCAGATGAGATCAAATTTATTTCTAATTTAATTACAGAAAACTTTTCGTTCAGATTAAAACTGTTCTGAGCAAATTGTTCTGGGAAAAGTATAGCATTTAATTAACATTCAGAGTAAAATGTTGTTTAAAAATGTATTCTTTCTCATACTTAGGGCTATGAATATTGTAGAAAAAGAACATATATACTTATATTTCCAGCATAATTATAAAATATTTGCCTCCAATCTTGTCAAAACCTATTGATCTTAATGGCATCACTGAATGTTTTGTTCACCAAGAGGAGTGTCTTACTGCTTCGAGGGATTGTATGGGGAAAACCAGTTTGGGCCTCTCATTTGTGTCTTACCTCCATGGGTTAGGCTAGGGTAAGAAGGGGTGCTCGACGGACTGCCTTCCTTGACGTTCACCCTCAAAATTGGTATGAACCTGCACAGTAAGTGTATTGGAGCTCTACTTCTACGTGTCTGTGTGGCAAGGAAGTGCTCAAAATACATGGCGAACTAAAAGTCCTCATAAACGCTTTATAGTAAGGGAAGAGAGGTGGGAGATCCTTGGACTACCCCACCCCAGGGTTGTTCTTCCTCAAAACTGGGACAAAAGCGTAACAGTTAGATGGGTTTAGCAGTACGTCAATCACTGTGATGCTACAAAAATGCTGGCCTAGCTTCTACCTGTCTTTTTCAAAAGTTCAATCACGTTTTAAACAAAATCTGATGTATTAACTTTTGGTCATAAATAAATCATACAAAACCTAAGAGATAAACCTTGCAACTTATATTAGTTTTTCTGTACCTGTAATGCACAAGACATTACAGAATGTGATTATTGGAAGTCAGTGACAATTTCACCTGTAACTATGCTTTCTTCATCACAAGACCCATCATTAATCCTTCTGCAAATTATGTCGTCAGATAACAGAAATCTTCAGCTGGCCAGTGAAATAAGAGATTCGGTTATCATGTGGCTTTCATTGTAATGCTACTAACTGAGCAGTTTTATATGTCACAAGTTGAAGCTTTATCACTTACTTTCATTGTTTTTCAAATTGTTGTTTTCATTTACTTTGTGTTTCGGAAATCTTTTAATGTATCCTTTATTTTTTCATTAGCATTTCATCACTGATATCAAGATGAGATGTTTGTTTATGATAAAATTATTTGTTACCTGACATGAAAACTATTTACAATAAATCTAAACTTAACATGATGCAAGACTTATGTAAACTTATTTAATTCAAAAAATCAAATAGTTGTGATTATTGGAAGTCGGTGAAATAAACCGCATTGACTTCTCATAATTCAGATGGGAACTGCATAGATACACCAATGTCTAACAGTTCAAAATTAAAAATGAGCTGGCTTATTTTCCAAGAGAAGCTCATGTTTTTTGGGTGAAAGGGCACAGTGTTGTTAACATAAAGCTCGGAATTGATCCTTGCCCTATCAGCTATGATCTATAGCTAAAAAAATTAATTGCCATTTGCATTTGCTGATTACATACAAAAATTATTCCATGCAGACAATCCCAATATTTTGCATCCCACACAAAAAATATTGTATTGATTTTCCTTATGCAAAACTTTTTAATACAGTACAAAGTCCAAAATCCGGACTCGTCAAGACTTCAGCGATTCCGGATATTAGATCATCAGTTTAAATCTAGTAAGATCGCATGTAGAAATTATAAAATTAAAAATATGAAATCGTCATTTATGATCTAAAGGGTATCAAAAAGTTTTTTAAAAAGCTTAATATTTATTTATTTACCTTATTAAACATTTCTTTCAATATAAGTTGCTTCTTTTTTTGTGCTAATACTTTCTCTTTAATTCTGTAGACAGACATAATCTCTTGTTTGGTTACATTGTTGAAGTCCTGTAACTGCTATTTCAAGAATTCTGACTAACTTGTCAATAGAAATTTTCTCGTTTTCAGTAACTTCTCTGTCACTTTCTTCACTATCGGTAGCGGTATTTTCTGGATTTAGAACCATACTACAGATTTTGCCATTCATTAATTGATTGATGATTGAGAAGCATTGTCATCACAATCAAAAACTTCTTTTATATCATCTTCATTTATTACCACTTCTCCACATTTCTTTACAAAATCCGTTAATTGGAAAACTTCACCTTTGTTTTGTGATATCCGAAAACCTTTCAAACTAACAGCTATCATCATCAAATTTAGCTATTCTTCACTATACATATTTGGCTATGCATCATGATCTTGGTGACTGACGTAAAGTTGTTCCATTAAATTTTATTTTGCTTCTATTGTGCACTGAGACAGTTAAGTCTGAATTGTATTAGTTCAGTTATTTATTATATTTTTGTCCATATCTTGCACATGCTTAAGGCTTATCAGAGTTCTAAATAAATAAATTCCCACCACATACTTAAGCCTTATTGAGGGCCAGCGCTAGATCCGAAAACCTTTAAAATTAGCGGCTATCATCATCAAATTTAGCTATTCTCCACTATACATACTTGGCTATGCATCATGAGCTTGGCGACTAACAACAAGTTGTTCTGTTAAATTTTATCTTGCTTCTATAATGCACTGAGACAATTAAGCCTGAATTGTATTTGTTCAGTTATTTATTATATTTTTGTCCATTTCTTGCACATGTGTAAGGCTTATCAGAGTTCTGAATAGATAAATTCCCACCACATACTTAACCCTTATTGAGGACAGGCGCTAGATATCTTATCGCCTGATGCAGTCTCTATGGGTGCTAAATTCTGCAACTCGATGTGGCCATACAAGCAGTGGTACTGGTTCTGCTGGGTTTATGTGAATAACAAATCAGTTATTCTTAATTCAAATAGCCCTAAATGTAATCTTTGGGTCTATGAGTATCATCAATAAAATCTATTTTTAGCATATGGATACAAATTTTTGGTAAATTTTTTCTTGTCAACATTTTTATCGCATTTAACTTAAATTTGTAATCATCGCCAAGCATAATGTCACCATAAAAGGCTACCACACTCTTTTATTATTCAATTACTAACATAAAAAATCGTTTAGGCATCGCTACATGAGTCGGTACTCAATTTTTCATGTTTTGATAAACATGCAGTGTTGAAAGGAAAGTATAATAAATAATGATTCACCAGGTTGGCGTCAGATCAACGATGTATCTAAGTGGAATGTTTCGGTTTGAGATGTATGCCAAACAGATACACAGCAATGGAGCCAAATTACTGATCGTACAAATTTATGCTATGATTGTTTCTTCAATAACAAGGCATTTTATTTAGTGTTGAAGGGAAATTAAGAATCGGGACTCTCTAGATGTTTTATTATGCGCAGAGGGGGAAATCAAATGCGCATGCGTAAAGCCTATGAGAAAAAGTTGTTAGTGGTTTTGAGATCCGGATAGTAGATCATTCCGTATAATGGACATCCAGATTTTGGACTTTGTACTGTAGTGTATTAATTTTTTCATTGAACATTTGAATTGGCTTCATAGAACACCTGTTTACCATGAACTTAGAATATTGGCTTCTGATTGCAATGATTCTGTGTGATGTGTTTCTGTGTATTATGTATTAGGGACAACAGAATACTGATTATATTTATCTTTGAATGATGGTTAACAAAATTATTCAAGAATGTTATTTAGTATGTGGTTATAGAAAAGAATGTGAAAATGTAAATTTCACCCTCAGAAGACCTAGAGTTGTAGTTATGATGATTGTGAGAAACTGCATGTGATGTGTTATAGACAGCTCCAGATTGATATTTCGCATGATAGAGAAGACTATCTACTGCAATAAATAATAAAGAACAGTGTTGAAAAAATACGTCATACCCTCGTTTAGAATGGAGCAATTAAATGGACCATTTCCCAGTATTGTAATTTCCTCTCCTCAAGAGACATCTCATATACATATTATTTTCTCCTTGATAGCTCAGTAAGCTCTTGGAACTTTTTAACTGTGCATATAAATCAAGTTCATAATTTTTCAATGTGTATAGAAGATGTTTGGTTCCAAGTTTAGGATAATTTCATATTTGAATGCCTATTATTATTATCTAATACCATACCAATAATTTTAGATCAGTTATTAACTTCTGCATGTTTAATGTAAACTTAAATATTAAATGTGAATATTCATAAATTATATGCTTATGTTGTTTATCTGTCTTCCATAGTACAATATATAGAATTCTAAATTGTTTTTCTAACTGAGTCTGGATTGAAGAGACTGCAGTCGTACATGGTGAAGTTAAAAAGTATTTAGATCAATAAAAATCCAGAATTGTGTTCTCTCATTTTGAACCTGATTCATTTACAAAAATTTTTCTGTACAGCACAGTTTGCTGTCCTTTATATTTCCATCTTGATGTCATTTTAATACCCATTGCAACAAAGTATTTTGCAACTAGGAGAATCAAATCAACTAAAGTTGTGTTGTATTAGCTCTGACTCTCTTTATGAACTCTTCTACCACCACAATATAGTCTTGCGCAGACTGATACTGTATCTCAGTTTAACTACAAGGACAGTAAACATAGTGGCTCATAGTATTGCAGTGTTGCATGGCAGATGTCCTTAAAGTAGAAATAAAATCATCAGATGTTTCTGACTTACCCTGTTAGGTCTGCCATAAAAGAGGCAATAAAACAAATGTTTATTTTTGCATGATTTTAAAACGTTAGTTAGCATTATTGTGTTTGTTTTTAATTTTGAGAGCTTAATCTGTATTTTACAAGTTTAATATTTGTGTGTTGAATTTGTTTCCAGATGTGTTTCCTCTACATAAAATATTTCATCTTTGGGATACATTGTTGCTGGGGCATTCTTCTTTCCCTCTCTGCATAGGAGTATCTATTTTAAAACAGCTGAGAAATAATTTACTGTCATATGGCTTCAATGAATGTATTTTGATGTTTTCAGATATGCCAGGTAAGAATCATGTAGTTATTACTCCATGAGAATTATAAGTAACTATGAAATTTACAATGTTTTAATTCTGAAATGTTTTAGTTACTTTGCTTTAATTTGTCATTTTATTGAGTTTCGATAAATATGTGTGTATTTCTTCCATGTATTTATGTGCATAAATATGAACCTTGTTAATAGTGCAGGTAAAATTACAAATATTGTGGCATTCTGAAGTTTGTGTAAATTCCTTGCTTGAATTTTTTTACAACAAACCATACACTATTTCTATTCTCATACATGAATTCAATCAGCCTCTGCATCATGTAAAAAAGTCTGCAGGAGAGTTGGTGCTAAGTAATCACAGTTTGAGATAAGCTTCGTTTGATGAACTAGCCTGCCTCATCAGTGGGTAATTTAGTTATAGTGTGTCCACAAATACTGATGAATCTTCAGTGTTATGTTATGCCCTAAGATTTACTGATTTATTTCTTTTATTTTGGAATAGAAATTGCAAAAGTTGTTCCTGTTTTATCAAGATTTTTTTCTTGTTTATGGTTATCTTCAGTGGTATAAAAAATGTCATCAATTATTGCATACTTAATTGTATTCTGTGCATTATTTTGAGACTTATAAAGATTGCATTATTGCTATAATTTGGCTGACCATTGAGGAGATAATTTACAAATTCCTATACTGTAGCATTAATTCAAGCAAAGGTTAAAAAACCGTATGTAAAGCGAAGTAATTTTATTTCTACTCTCACATACTGGATGAATCTTTATAGATACTGTATTTGCTTATGTGTCCCCCCTCCCAGCTTTATAGCTCATGTTTCTGAAAAAATTTTAATATTCGTGTAATTTTCCCTTTCCTTGATGCATTCAGAAAGCAAGCTTGCCTAAAATTAAAAAATGATTTTGCCCTTGTAATTGCTGTTTTCTTCTTGCTAACAAGGGCAGCTTCCTGCAAACTGCGTATGAAGTCATGACAAACTTTCCCAGATGCTATCAATGGTAACACATTAAAAGTAATGGAATTTTGACATGAGGGCTTTGTGAGTGGCATGAGCCAAATTTTGTGGGCAATGTCTTTGCAAGCTATAGCAGATAATATGGATAACAGTTACACTAATATTGATTGATTTGAAGCTAGGACGTAACTGTGGATACTAAGAAGAGTAGTAAGATTCAAGATACAGGGAAGTAAAAATGAAGCTATCTTATTTGATATTGCTATTAATTGTTAATATTAATTAATATTAATTGTTAATATTAATTAATATTATTATGTATTCTTATAGGAATGTAGTTTTCTTTCAAATAAATAATAATGTGCTGTTTATGGATAATTTATTTATGAGTACTTTTTAATTTGTTAAGTTCTCTCTGTAACCAAGTGCTTCGAAAATTAAACTATTTACATAATTTTTTCATCTTGATTTTCATGCCGTAAAATTAGTAAAAAAAGGAGGGGATAAGTAAATATGGTAAGGTGTTGAATTATCATAAGTTTAATAAATGTTCGTAGGTAGTGAAAGCAGTCACATCGTTATTAATATAAAGTAACAAATTTTATAGCACAAAAGAATGTAACTCAGGAAGCACTACACCCCGCTTAAGATTTCAGTAAATACTGCCCTTTTTCAATACCTATAGGCCATGGATATTTTGTATTTACGCCTCACCAAAGGGTTATTTTTAAAAATAAAGAACATTCGAGTGCCTTAAAATGATAAAACAATAGCTGTTATCGCACATAGTAAAATGTAAAAAATATAAAATGTAAATGCAATTTTTCAAGCAACAATAACAAATATATAACATGAATATATAGATTTTTAAGAAATATGAAACAAAACATTAAATATATCACAAATGTCGATAATAGTTTCAAGTAAGTCAATTAAAAATCAAGTTATTAAATTTTAAATGATTTTCCACGCGTAAATTTGTGAACTTTGACCTTTTCACCAACCCAACGGTCAATCGGATACCAGCTATCCCCTCCGTCATTTTCAAATCGCAGCCTATCAACAAAGAGTTACAATAGCAAGCAGGGTATTGTTTCATGTGCGATTAAGCTCAAAATAATTAAGCAACCAAAAACAGTTCCACCACCAATGTTCCTATCATTCAGAGTGTGACACAAGTTTCTAAATTTTGAAAAATTTGGATAATTAGATCAAAAGTTATAATTTTTATTACCAATTTATTGGGCACAGGAAGACATAAGAAAAAATCCCTAATGTCGCTATTGAGTCTCATTTAAATTAGAGTTTTCAGAGTTTTTAATTAATATTTCAGCTGATTAAAGTCATGCGAAGATGAGAATGGTATCGATGGATTCCGACGAATTTTTAGAATCTGGGATTATGTGTCTCGAAATTCAACTAACCGCCATTCCATAGATATTTATGAAAAAATTAATTGGTGCATAGCCAAATCTCTTTAATAGGAAAAAAAACCAACAAAGTAAGGGGAAAATGTAGTTTTTAATTAATGTCTCATCTAATTAAAGTCATACGAAGACATTTTATAGCCTATAACCTTTTCTAATATATCAAAAATATCTCTTGAAAATTTCATGATGATCGGTTAAGTCGGGAAAGCTTAACAAACAAAACATTTGTATTTATAATATTCGTAAGGATATAATGATTTCTTTGCTTGTTCCACATAAGTAGTTTCTAATCTTTATTCTGTGCTGCTCAAAATTTTGGTACTTCTGTGAATTCTGTTTTCTTGATAATGTATGTAGTATGCAGGCATAAACAAAGGGCTGTTCAGTGTTTTCTTGAATCTTTTTTTTTTTAATCCTGATTATATTAAGAGCAAAAGATTTAAATTTAGTTCCTATTTAAATGCTGCAGCAGACGTTCCATTTAATACAAAATCCATAATTTTTCATTGAATTTTCATTGAATGCAAACATATTCATCACATTCAGCTATTAATTATGGGAATACTTATTAATTTATCACTTTTACAACAGCTGAAGTTGTAAATATTTTGTAACAAGTATCAGTCTTTTCCTGGCTCAAGGACAGGCTGTTTGTTTTTAAACCTACAGTACTCAGAGCCACCCATAGCTCAATGCTGGAATGCCACCCAATTTGCTAAGGAGGCTGTGACGGTATGGGGACAAGATTTCGTGGAAAAAATTAGTTTCTAAAGTTGCCAATAGGGCAAAAAGTTGGCACTGTTCTAATCTATACGACTGAGAACTATTTCAATGCAGCACCACTTTCACACAGCAAATGAATTGCCTCAAGGGGTTACAGAGATGATATTTCAGTGTACCATAACACTATTGAATAAACTCGGTTTCTCAGTGAGGGAATAGACCTCTTAAAATATTATCATCTTTTAATGAATCGCACATTGCATTCTGTACACATGATGGCTGAACATAAGAAGTTACCAGGATACCCAACACAACCTGTGATGTGTCGTCTTTTAATGTCATTGACCCCCACCAAGATAAGCCGTGAACTTCAAAATACCCCATTCTGAAAAAGTCACATGAGATTAGATACAGGCAGCTACACAAGTGGAAAAAAGGAATTATGACACCCTATCTTCTGTAAAGTGGTAGCATAACAGATGCTGTGCAAGCAATGTGCGGTGGTGGATAAAAGTCACATGATACTGCACTTGCCTCTGCTAAAATTATGGACTGACAAACCTAGTCAACATATCATGATACCTTTGCATGTAACAGTACATGTAGGTCGTCTTGTTAGCGTAATATTCTCAAAAAATAATGGTCTGCTGATGGAATCTGCTATAAAGCCACATCCAAGTGACTTTTGGTGAATGCAGTGGTGTTTTCTAAACTGCATGGAATTGTTTAAATGGTCATATTCATGAAATGTGAGTGTTAATAGTCCCATTTACGTCAAAATAGGCATCATCTATCCACAGAACTCTACAGGGTCAAGCATCATCAACCTCCATCCTGGCAAGAAATATCAGAGCAAATGGCACCCATTTATCATATGCATTACGTTTTAGTTCTTGCTTACAGCTAATCTTCTATGGTATAAGGGAAGAACTTTCTACAAGATTTGCCATACCATTGAAAGATTCAAATTGTTGTGCTATTCTTGGGGCATTGCTCTTACCAGTAATAGTTCTATGGGTGCCATCAACAATTGTAGTCGTGACTTCTGTAATTGACTGTCTGACACTAGTTTCCACTCTCTACCAAACCAAACTGCTAAGGATCCTGTTTCTTCAACTTTCTGAATTATGCCTTTCAATGTATTAATTAACAGGGCTTCTATATGTAGGTTTTTATGACTTCTAAACTCATGAAGAGCAGTAATTATGTTCGATTGCTGAAGATAAACAGCTTTACAAGTAACAAGTGCTGAAGAAGCATATTGAAGATAGCCAGCATTCAAAATGTCTTTCAGTATCTTCCCCTTATCTTTATAGACTAAATTACTAATGTTGCTTTCATTTATCTAACAGAGCATTTGCATTTTCAAATTTTACCTGTGTTTCATGTAAATTTTCAGTACTGTAGATTAAAACAATGCTGCATTTTTCCTTATTGGCAACATTTGGAACCAATTGTTTTCCACGGAATAATTTTTTCAGTGTCATCATTAGTTCCCCCAGCCAAATTTGGGGCATTCCAGCTGATAGATCAAGCTACAGATTGTGCTGAGTTGTGTCAGTTTAAGAAAAGAAAAAAAGAAAAGGAAGTTGTATTTAGCTTATCTGCACTTATGAATCCTGTCTAATTCCCTTTTTGGTAATGCTTAGGAATGTTAAAAAAAACTGTACAAAAAAGTAAGTGAAGAAACCCACAATCTCTTTTAGGACATAAAATTTTGAAAATGTTGGGGAGGGGAATAAGTACATAAGAAAGCATGACAAGAAGCAGTGCAACTTTTTGTTTGGGACACATAAAAGGGAAGATTGCAAGAATCAAAATGCATCAAGTGAAAGTACCTTTCCTTAATAGTTATTTTAATACACTTTATAATTTTTTTCTTTCGTTACTTTTAATAGTTTTGTCATTTATGATTTCTGTCATAAGTGTTCAGAAACTGAAATACTTTTTAATATTGTAAATTATTTATATATTTATGCTTTTTTTTTAAAGTCTATTCTCATTTTGTGTATTTCAGAAATTGATATACAACGTTGTGTACAAGATTCCATAAAAATCTTTTGCAGTACTCCTAAAAGTATTACATACAGAGTTCATGAAAATCCTAGTTGTAATTCCAAACTTCCTTTTGACACAAATTTGAAATTGACCAAAGAAGAAACTGTTGGAGATCCTGATCTTGTAAATATAGTTTGTATTTTAAATTATTATACATGTACTAAAGTGAAGCGAAAGATCAGTTTACTGACTGAAGTCAAAGCATTCTCTTGATGTGTATATGTATATTTTTTTTAACTGATAACAAAAACTGCCCATAAAATTTTTACATTTAGGAAGGAATGACATTGTATTTAATCTTTAACTTGGTTTCCTACTAAAGAATTTAAAAAGTAAAATGCATTGAGCCTTCTCTAATATGACCTCTCTACAGTTGTAGTTCATTAGAGTTTTCTGTGGAGGTGTTTGTTGTAGAGAAGATTGCAAATAATTATCTTTAATATTTTTTTAATGTGATGAATATTTTAAACTGCAGCAACTAGGTCATATGTGTTAAGTTAAAAAAGGAAAAAATTTGCATGAAACATATGTTGTGAATTTTGTTTAATAATTTAAAAATATTCACTATCTTTTTTATCTGTTAAAAATCATTCCATTTTCTAAAAAGATTCAGTATGATGAAGTAAATCAACGCTCTATTGTATTTTTTTACGAAGTTCCTTTGCAGCAGTCCACCAGCAGTATTTTGAATAATTTTATCATGTTTCTAAATTTGATACTTTTCATTTTGTTTTATAGATATTTTAATTTAAATCACTTTATGGAACTGAAAATGAAAAAAAAAAAAAAAAAAAAAAAGATTTGTACATGCTGTGAATTATCACTTCAAAATAAATGCAACTAAACACAATAATGTTAAAGCAGAAATAATCTGCTTCTGACACTTATTGAATATTGACTTTTAATATGTTACTGGTTGCACAGTTGGAAAATGAAAAAAATAATATGAACCATTGAATGGATGAATTATTGATAGAGTGTTGTATATTATAACTAGAAAAATCAAGCCTTTGTTATAAATTGTACCATACTGAAAGAGGATGGAATTAATGATTTAGAAATAATTAGCTATTGTTTTTCATAAAAATAACAGTAATTTTGGTTGGTTTTGTGAGTGGTCATCTTAATACATATTTTATAATTTTGGTTGGTTGAGGGAGTGATTATCTTAACATATGTTTTATATGATTGATTATAAAATACATGTTAAGTAACAATCTTAGGTAATGAGATCATAACTATGCATGCTGATGTTTATTTTTCTCTGTGAAATGCTAATCACTTTCCAAACTGGTTGTCTCCATGAGAGGATTCAATGTATATTATTAAGTGCTTTTTTTAAATAAAATATTGATTTACACTTATAAAATGCTTTATTCAAACGAGTAGGAGATATTCTTTTCCTTTTATAGTTTTAACTCCGTTTCCATTCGTGCGTTACCAACGTGTAGCTTATTGGGAGAAACGCATTACGCAGACAGACAATTTGTTTACACTATTGCGTTGGATTTACGCTTACGGTAGTTCGGTGGTCAATTGCATTCATTGCCACCAGATGTCTCTGATTTAACTTATGGGAATCGGACTCTTAAAATACTTAAATTCGATGTTATTGGAAATTTTTAGTTCTACTTATGAACTGTGAAAGTAAAGCAAGTTAGCAACTTTTAGATAAGTAAGGTTATAATGCATATTATGAACATTTCTAATTGCATAGAAGCAGAAATAATTTTTAAAAATTCCTTTGCATTTCTAGAAGCCTTAAATTTTAACAAAATAATATGAAATTAAAACTAAAATGTACTGTTACTGCAAAACAAATAAAAAAGTTAAACACATTTAAATATAGCTGGTACCTTAAAATTACAGAGCAACTGTAAAGAAAGGTTCACAATATTTACACAGAATTTGTTATGCTATGTGAGATTGTATATTTTAAAAATATGCACAAATTTGAGAAGAAAACAGATAGTATATAAAATTTTAGTATCAATTTCTTCAGTGTTGTAGCTGGATAATGTATTAGACATCTCATTTGTTTTAAAATGCACTATGCACAGTTATATTTTATAGATAATCCACAAAATATTATTTTTAATTTATAAATTTTAACTTCATAGCTTTTTATAGAAGTTATAAAGATAAGCCTTTTTTTTCTCTTTATATATGTATACATACTTAAGGTAAAATAAAATAGAAATATTTAATTAATTAATTCCTGTGCTTCAGCTGGAGAGGACTGAATTTTAAAGCAATTATTATAATAAGTTATTATAAAATTATTCTAATAAGTTTTTAAAAAACTGGTTTATTAAAAATGTTCAGGGCATTAATACTGTTCTCATATTGATTCGTATTGAAAGTTTAGAGCTGAAAACATCCCAAAGTCTCATCACATGTCTGTACAGTCACATAAAAGTGAAACAAAAAAAAAGTATTTATATATATACAGGGAGTATACTTTAAATTCATATTATACTATAACTTTCAAAATAAATTCTTGAGGGGAAAATTTAAATAAATAAGAGCATAAATAAAACATTATATTTAATGCACATAATAATAGAAATAAATTATAAAACACAAATGCAGATCAAATTGGAATACGAACCTAAGAAAGTTGCAAACAGGGTGGAAAAAGAGTATGAGATTCGAACTCACGACTCCAAAAGTCAAATTTCACTACCCTCAGCTTTACCAGTACGCTATCACCATGCTGATATAATTAGCAATTTTGACTTACATCATCAAGTAAATGAATTCTTAAAACTAAATTTTTTGATCGTATTTCATTGTGCTATTGTCTAAAAACTTCACTAGAGTTTGTTCTTCAGCTTCTAGGACATATCTTACAAAAAACATTATTTTTTTAAAGTGGACTGCTAAAAATGTACTCCATGTGCTTACAAATACACTGGTTATCATAAATTAAGGAAAAATCACAAAAATCATGATTACTGAAAAAGTTGCACGAAGAATTTTACAAAACTTACCTACAATATACCACACATAGTAAGATATCAAATAACATAAAAATAAATTACCAGACAATTATGGTAGTATAAAAATTATTAGCACATGTATAAAATGAACAAATCGAAGGTGTCAGTTTGCTATAAGAAAAGTACCTTCAATAGGGAATATGGTCGCCTCTAGAAGCAATACAGCACATACAGTGATGTGTGATGCTTTCATTTATGGGGTCTGTCAGTTCCATAGAAAGCGAGAGCCATTGCTCTTGCAAAGCTGTTACAAGCGCGGCAAGGGTCTGAGGGGGCAGACTGAGAGCAGCTAGATGTCTCTCTAAATCATCCCAAACGTGCTCGATAGGATTCAAGTCCGGGGATCGAGCTGGCCACTCCATACGCATAATTGTTTCCTGTTGAATATAATCATCTACGACGCGAGCTCTGTGTAGTCTTGAGTTATCATCTTGTAACAGGAAAGCATCACCTATTGCCCCAGCACATGGGCGCACATAAGCATCAAGGATGTCATCTCTATAAACCAGAGTATTCACGGTTTCTGTTGGAAAGACATGGAGGTCTGTGCATCCACCCAAAGTGATGCCACCCCAAACACAGACACTGCCTCTTCCGTATGCATCTCTTTAATGGATGTTTGACGGATGATAACGGGTTCCAGGTTCTCTCCATATCAAATAAAGCCTACTATCGCTTTCTAGACTAAACCTGGACTCATCTGTAAAGTGAACAGCCCTCTACTGATCAGGTGTTCCAGTGAACATGTTGTCGTGCCTACTGCAAATGGTCCCTGCTATGGTGTGATGGTGAGCAGCACGCAAACGACTAGTCATCTCGCATACAGACCACCTTCATGAAGCCTTATACACATAGTTGACGTTGACACCAACCTTCCAGTGGCTGCAGCAAAGGAGGATCTAAGAAGAGTCGGAGTAGCAGTTATATTCCTGCATGCACAAAATGTCAAATATCGGTCATCGTCGCTTGTCGTAGTAGTTGGCCATCTGTCCTTGGCTGAACCTCCTAGAGGCCGAATCTTTGGTTTAAAATCGCCTCCAAAGTCTATGAACCACAGAAGGACTCACATTTAGCCATCTGGCCACTTCTGTTTGACTTTATCCTGCCTCTAGTCTGCCAATGGCTCTCCATCGCAGTTCTTCAGGCAAATGATGTCTGGAGGTCGTTACGTTTCAAACATGGACTTTTATTCTCCTCGCAGTTGATGTATTCCAAGTGCAGCGCCACTAATTTGCATATTGTAGTTTTACTCAGCTACTCTTACTTGGCAACATATTCAAATTTTACACGGTTTGGCTTATTTTTGAGGGAGTTATCGCTATTTTTGTGATTTTTCCTTAATTTATGATAACCAGTGTATATGTTAGCCAAAAAGGTATATTTATAGCCAGAGAAATACAACTTTAACATACTCTTTAATGGAGTGGAATATTTAAAAGGCTATCAAATTTAATTTACAATTAACGTTTTTAGTTTTTACCTGTTTCAGAAGAAAACAATAACAAATCTTTTAATGCCATATCTGATTTGCTATAGCAGTTTAATATAGTCAGACGTTCATTTTCGTTAAAGTTAAATGAGTATGCAGAACTAGGAAATAATTTTCACGTCAAATTTTGCTATTTCATGGACTTGGAATTATATTTTTTGCACCTTATTGTCTTGACAGTAATCATTGCTCTCAGAGAACTAGTACTGTAGTTGCAGTTATCTTATTTTTTTTATCTTGTTTTTCACTAAATTCAGCTGATTGCTGTCTTTTTTAGTATGCAGATTTCTCGCTATAATATTAATTCAGAAATAAGAATTTTTTAGCAAAACATTCTTTCCCAGCATTCATCGCTACTTCTGCCGCCATTATTTTTTGTTGACAACACCTGATTGCTCCCTTTTTACCACGTGACCCCAATGCATCCGCAGACATACAGTTAGAAGTTGAACTTCATACATCACCGCACATCGACCGGATTACAGGCGTCAATCAAAGTTAATTTGCTCACTGATTGGAGAAACGCATACACAGTAGTGGAAGCTGCTCTTTACCGCATCAAAATTCAAGTTTTAGTTAAAAATTTCTCTGAAGATTTTCTAGGTATTTTTCTGATTTTTCACAGGACAAGGCAGAGAGACAAAAAAGATTTATTTTTTTCCAAAATTATGATTCAATGAATTTTGTCACCTGATCTATGAGGTATGAAAGCTTCAGTTTAGCATGCATGTCAGTATTGATGTAAACGGATAAAATTAACTTTCCATGATACACATTTAAGTTTTTTCATGTTGTAAAAGATATGAATATTCTTTAGATTAAAAAAAAAAGTGTAGTGTTCAACCCATTATTTTTTAACTGTGCCTTAAGATAAGTGAACATTTTTTTGAATATTTTTCCATAAGTTGCAAATACTATGGAAAATTTCAAAAAATGGAGAGTTAATTAAAGATTTTGTATTAAATTCAATCAGTCAATTTTAAAAAATAAGATGCATTTCTATATTATTACTTCATTATTTAGCTTTTTAATAACCAAACTATTCTTTGTGCTTGGAAAACAACTTTTGTGTTCAAATTACAATGCCATTAAATTCACTAGCTTTTTGTATTTTTAATGAAAGTTTCAGTATTAAATAGTTTAAATAGTTATTTGATTAAAGTTTGGGTATTATTTTATTTTTTGTATTAAATAGAATACTACCTTCATGTTAAGTATTCTGTTTAATAAATTTCATTTTGTAAATATCTAATCAGTTAGTGTCCATCAGTGGCTAAGTGATAAAATCATTGAACACCAGTAGTGTGACCTGGCAGCATAATAACTTTTGTGTTATTCTTCGTGTATAATGTTAATATGAGCCATTTTTATTAAAAAGTCCTCTACAAGAGGCATCCTTCCTGGCAAATGAGGGCCAATAAACTTCACACGCATTAAACCAATAAACCAATAAACCTAATTAGGCCAATAAACATTAAATATAAACAATAAACAATAAACATAAAATACATTAGGCCAATAAACCTAATGTAGCCTAGCCATTGTTGCAAATATCCATTTTTGCCAAAACCATATGCTAAAAATGTTTTATATATTCATGCATTTGAAGATGATATAAGTTCTTCATTAAATAATTTTGGAAGATGAAATAATTTCATTTCTTATTAAAGTCAAGAGTCTTTAATCCGGACTCGTCTGGACTTCTGCGATTCCGGATTATAGATCATCAGTTTAAATCTGGTAAGATGGCATGCAGAAATTATAAAATTAAAAATATGAAACCGTAATTTATGAAATAAAGAAAATTATGATCTAAAGGGTATCAAAATTTACAAAAAAAAAAGCTTTATTTATTAAACATTTCTTTCAACGCGCGCAAGCGTAAAGCATACATTATGCATAGTCGAAATTAGAAAATTGCAACCAGAAAAATATTTGATGTGTATTCGTGATATTTATAATGAATTTGATTTAAATCATATCAAAGACAGAGTAAATCGAGATGAAATACTACATTTAGTAATGAACTATAAGCCAAATAAAATAAAAGCATCTGCCCTGAAGATACGGATAGTGCTGACAGATCAACTTCCAGTTCATTGCACACCGCGATGTTCCCCTCCTCTGCAGAGCAGCGTGAAATTTATAAACAGATTTCAGAATGGTTAGAGAAACAAAGGATATGCCTTTATTCATTTTTTGCAGCAATTCCACTTTTTTTTTGATGGACATCGAAACATGCTTTCGCTTTGTAGATCCTTTGGCGGTATCCAGCATTGAAAATTCTGTTTTAGCTTAGCTTATACCGTCCGTTATACAATAAACACGCATGCGTACATGCATATGCACTTGCGTAAAGGTATTACATGCATGCGTGAACTCATTATGTGTTGATGCATGTGCAGAAAGTTTATAGTTTTGAGGTCCGGATTATGGGCATCCGGATTAACGACTTTTGACTGTATATGTTTTTAAAAAGATCATAGTTGTCATATACTTGAAATTATTAATTCTAATTTAAAATTTCTTTTTCCCAGACACCTGAAATATACTTCTTTAGCATATGTGATACATATAACTTGATCAATTTAAAGTATAACTTTAAATGAATTATTTTAAAATATATTCTGTGTGATAAAGTTTATTCTTTGCTCATCAATGACAATAATTTTTTTAACTCATGTTAAATATTTATTTCAACAGCTTTTAAAAAAGGGCATCTAAATTTGAATTTATGTAAGCTTAGTTCTTTTAGGAAATAAAGGACAGAAAAAGAATTATCTGTGTTAAAGATAACATTTTCTATATGCTGATTCATGGAAAAATGCAAATTCGTTGAAGTGTGTAACTTTTGATGCATAATCTTAGTTTCTTTTATCATGGTGCATAAAATAGAAGTTACTATAGCAATATATAGCAGAATATACAAAAAGGCTATTTTTAATTATATTTTGAGAATCTAAATAATTACATCATTTTAAAGCAAACCTATTAGTTTTTATAATGTAATTATTATGATGCAGCTTTTCTTGCATTATATAAATATCAAGTGGCAGTTAAAAACTTGAATTTTGCTGATGCTTTAAAACAAGCTTTTTTGAATACTTTAATATTTATGTGATTCATTATGTATTGTACCCATACAGATGATGTCACCTGTGCCTCTTAGTGAGCTAAAGTCTGAAATGTGCCCCAGAATATCAGCTGAAGATCTTCTGGATTTTCTTGATCTTTTACCCGAGTCTAAGAAAAGGACAAAACCACAAAACATAAAATTGCTTGTAGTTGATATTCGCTCACCTGAAGAGTATCCTTTTATCTTATTGTTAGAACTTTTGTATTGCTAGTATAATATGGCAAAGTTATATAAGTAATGTAATAGCACTAATATAGCACTGTATTATTACTATTATTTCTACTAAATTTTGACTATTGGCTGAACAGCACTTTTACACTTCATTTTATAATTACTGTTCATTAATTCTTAATAATCTGACATATTCATTATTTGGCACTATACAGAATTCTACTGTATATGTGGTTCCAAATAGAAATGTCAGTTGATATATATACAATTTATATTTGACATGTGATACATCAATCAAATCATCACTTTATTTAATCACATTTCTTATTTAAATTTTTCATGTTACATATGCCCTAGCCATTGTTTACACCTTTTGTTTGGTTACATCTTTATATTTGCCATATTTATTCATTACAGCCACTTTTCGTTTTCTATTATATTTTTTAAGTTTCTATATTTGGACCACATTTCATTTTACATTCAAAATTTCATTACATTTTCACAAGTTTACTTTGAAATTGGATTCATTCATTTCATAGGAAGATTTTAAACACCTTTTTAAAGAAATCTTTTACATAGCACAATTTGATTATATTTAGTAAAGTTCAATTCTTCTGGTATATGGACCAGCCAACTTGTCTAGCCTGTAGGCATGATGAACACAGCCAGATTGACTTTTTTTTTTAAATCAAACCTGAATGAATTTTTTGAACCTGACATTCTTTTTTTTTTTTTTTTTTTTTTTTTTTTTTTTTTTTTTTTTTTTTTTTTCCCTTTCTAATCCTCATTCTCTGCAGAATTAATTTATGAAGGCTTTTGTAAAATCCAACTTGCTTGTGTGGGCTTTAGTTGTTTTGTTATCTAATTCTATTAGGTAATTATCATTCCATTGCTTCTTAATAATTTCATTTGGCCCACTGTATTTTGGTTGTAACATTCTCTTATTAAATCCGTGCATAAAGACTTTATCCCCTAATTTTAATTTGAGAATTTTTCTTGCTATCAAATATTTTTTCTCATAATTAAAGTATATAACCTCATTAAATTTCACCTATTCCTGGTTGTTGTTAAATTGGTCTTTTAATCTTCTGCTAATTTAAGAGGATCATTGCTCTACCAAAGAAAGAAAAAAAAAAAAAAAAAAAAAAAAAAAAAAACCTCTCAGCTAAAGAAAATTGAGTTATGGAATGTTTTGCATTATGGTAATATAGTTTAAACCTTTTTGGGGCACTCTTTCAATCAACCCATTTCTTTGTGAGTAATATATTGAACACCTTCTGTGCTCTATGTTTAGTGAGTTAAAAATTTATTTAATTCTGTAGATCAAAAATAGGAACCGTGTGTGATAGCAAAATTTTGGAGATGCCACATGTCATGAAATAGTCCTTTAGAGATTGTATAATGGACTGAGAAGTGCAGTTGTTTAATGGAATTGTTTTCAAATACCTGGAATAGTGATCAATGACAGTGAGTACATAAAACTTATTAATGGATCTCGGGAATTCTCCAACTATGTTTATAGCTATTATCTGCTTAAGTTCAAGGTCTTAGGAATCAAACGTGGCATAATGTCTTGGGGTCTTGATTTACTTTGTCAGTTTGAACAATTTTCTATATTATAAGTATTGTCTTAAGTATTAAGATCTTATTTCGTACACTTCTAGTTTTTTGTTCTCTCATTAGTGGGTTTTAATTTTATGGTTAACACATCTGTATAACTATCTATAAAATATTCTACCCTCTCTTTGTGGTTATTCTGCAATTTTTTTTTTTATAAATGTTTTTATATATGGATGTTCACACTGTTTTCTAATTATGTTTTAAACAGACAGATTATCACTGGCAATAAAAATATTCATGTTCTAACCACTACTTCCTCTGAAACTCTAAACAAGTTATCTGTTGGGTTTTTGAAACCAGGAATATGCTGAGTAGTGTGCTGAAATTTTTGCAGATATATTAATAACCAGCTTGCTGCAATATCAGGCTGCTTTTCAAGATTGATATGGAGTGTTAGTGGTTTGCCATCACTCATTATTATAAATCTTTTCCTATATAGATGTTCGTGAAATTGTTTTACAGACTTAAAAATTTCATTATTTTTTATTGTGTGCTTTTCCAAGAATAACTCCTGTATCTTATCTAAAGCATTCTGGCACTGTTCATTTCACACAAATGTTTTTTTTTTTTTTTTTTTTGTTGTTGTTGTTGTTGTTGTTATTGAGTTCAATATTGGCTTTATAATTTCTGCATAATTTAAAATAATTGAGGAAAATAGTTTACCATACCATGCCTATGATGTTTGAACTTCGTTGACGTACTCTAGGTCTGGAAAATTTAGCTACTTTTTGAATATTCTGTTCTGCTGGAGCAAAACCCTTCTTATTAACACAAAATCCTAAGTAATTTCTGAATTGCGTTTTGGCTGGGTCTAAAGTTAAATCTTTTTAACCTATCAAACACATTTTGCAAAATAATTACCAGCTCATTTATGCTATTGCCTGCTACACTTAGTCATTCAAAAAATATTGTGCATTTGGGTCTTGCGTATCACCTAAACATTTGGATATTAGAGAATGGAGACATGCAGAGGTGTTCTTGGCATCAAATGGTAACATAGTCAGTTAAAAGATGCCAAGTTCTGTGCAAAATGCTGATCTTTCCTTTTCTCTCTGATCTAATTTTATTTGAAAAAATGCCGGCTTTAGCACACAATAGTAAATCTTGCCTAATATAGTACGAATATCCTGAAATCCTGGGTAAACATATTTGATAAGACTCAGTTTTGCAATTTAATATTTTATAACCTACTGCAATTTTGAATTTTAATTTGCAGTAGTGTTTTTTGCAGTAGTCAGCAGTAGTTTTTTTTTTTTTTTTTTTTTTTTTTTTTTTTTTTTTTTTTACAAAAATTACTGGGAAGCTATAACTTAATGGTTCAGTAATACCTGCTTTCTAATAATTTGGCTATTTCCTATTGGGTGTATTTTTTAGCAGTACAAGTAATAGTATACTGTTTCGTCTGAATTGGGAAGTTATATATTAGACTAAATTGCGGCACCATCATTTGGTCTTTAGTTTGGCCTCTAAGTGGCTTAAACCAAAGTCATCAGGGACTAACTCCTCCATTCTTAGTTTTCTAATTTTCTTTAATGTTATATGGTTAATCTGTAAATTTTGTCATTCTATAGTCTTCTCAAATTGATTTTCTTCTATTTTATATACCTTACCAATATTTTTACCTTCCTTAAAGTAACTTTGGAATTAGAAGTGTTTTCAATTATGGTGAAAATGTATTTTTCACTTATGTAGTGTTTTTGTCTGGGGAAATTAATACTTGCTGGTTTTGCTGCATATTAACGAGGATGCTTAATTTTACCATCTCTGCAGTAGTCGTAAGAATTATAGCATTTTATACTAATCTCACTATATCTGAATCATCTTTTTATATTTTTTTCACCCTTTCTGCTTTATTATTAGTGATATTTGGTTTTCTGTCTACAAGATCAAAGTAAGTGTTGTCAATAATTGATTGATTTTTATTTGTATCTATCAGTATCTTATTTTTCTATATAAAATCACACCCTAAAATTATTTGATACTTTGCATTGTAGTTATGCTGTGTAACAAAACAACTGGTTGGCAAGCCATTTATTTCCTATATGAAATTTGAAATTTATGGCAGATAGGTAAGGGACAGATCTGTACTGAACCTTTGTATATTTTAGTATTTGCATGGTGTCTGGCTGTATTAAGCTTAAATTTGCACCTGTATCTAGCAATGATGCTACCACAAGGTCATTGTTATTGGTAATAGGGTATTATTGTTAGTCGGGGCATGAAGCTACTAATTTCTTTTCACTGTTTTCCTCAATGTTATTACTCAATTTTTTAGTTTGTTTATTCGTATCTCTTATTCTCTTATTTTTGTTTATTTTCTTTATGGGTACTTCTACTTTTCCTCAAGTATAAGTATTCTGATTACTGCAACTATTCCTTCTACTGGTAAAATCGCCCCTATAGAAAATTTCCGTATAGTTTCTTCTCTCCTTTCTAGATGGTTGATAACTATTGTTTGAAGGAATATAAGGGCCATCAATAGTGTGATGATTTTGTTGGCCAATATGGCAAGACTCTTGTGTTATCATTACTCTGAGTACTGCTAGTAATGTAAATAGTTTAGTTAAACTATTTACATTACTAGCAAGTACAAATTCATTAACATTTTTGACAAATCTCTAACTTTATTACTTTGCATTATTAAAGTATTTATCTCAGGAGAGTAATCATGTGTTTGTGAACCTGAATTTTTCAGTGCTTTTTCAATATTTTTTGCTTGTCTAACAGCAGCGGCAAAATGAGTAGACCCAAGGTTTTTTTTTTTTAATCTCTAGTCTTGAATCTGGCTGGAGTGCTTCAATGAATTTCAGATCATAGCTTTTTGAGTAACATTGTGCACCTCCTCACTTGAATTGTGAGAACACCCAAAATATTTAGTAGCATGTGCATTCTCCATGTCAGCTAACTCCTCAACTGATCGATTCTGATTTTGTCTGATTGATGTAAAATTATTCTGAATCGTCTCAAAGGACTAAGATTTTGCAAACTTGGTATTCAGTAATTTTGTTAAATCATTAAGTGGCACCTTTACATGACTCATTTTCCATTGCAAATTTTACTGCCTTACCTCACAATTGAATTTTTAAAACAAGGCTTATTCTTTAGTCAGTCCAGTTTTCTAAAATAGCCATTTAGCTCAATTGATCTATGAAGAATGTTATATTTTCATCATGCTCGCCTGAAAAAGTAAGCAAAACAGATGCCAAACTCATATTCATGATAGTAGCTTGTTTTGCCATTTTGAACCTAATTAATTAACTGTGCTTCTGTTACACTTTCAACCTATTATTAAACTATTATAGATTACAGATACATATGCTCTTACTTATTCACATACATTGCTGAATACTATAACCGATGCACTTACTACTATTGAATAAACTGTTCATTCACAATTGAATTGCAGATTTTATCAATATATTTCACATGCATTGACAAAAGTTATTATATATCGACTGTTACATATTATTATATACCAATATGCAATAGTTCTTAAGATCAGTCAATATTTGTGTTATGTACTGGTATTACTTTTATCCATAAATTGATATTTTTATCATTATAACTATGTTTTTTCTCATCACTACTGAATTCTAAATATCATTATACAATTATACAGTTTTCATTCTTAAGAATTCCTGATGATTTGCATCTAACATGACCATATAAAAAAATTTAATTTTTCACTCTTACTAATATTTTTGCAATCATAAACATTCAGTTATTGGAATCACATATGCAACCATTTTGATTATTAGACACATCTTTTATAGATTCTGAATCGGAATTAATACTTATAATTGTTTTAGAACATTTTTAGATCATATTTTACTTCTTTCTGTGATCCATAACATTGTGTAGATTCTGCAAAGGCTCTCTTCTGAAGAGCATTAACATTCCTTTCAATACTGCATTTGCACCAGATGGTACTATAGACAACACAGTGCTCACCAGTTTTAAAGGCAAAATGATAACAGTTATTGGCAGCAATAAAGATAAATTGGTACCAGATGTAAGTTTTTATATATACTACCTGTATCTGCAAATAATTCGTATGGAATTTCTTGCATTTCTTTACATGGGGGAGATTCTTAAATACCTTACAAAAATGTACAGGTAGCTAGACAGGACAAAAATAAGCATATTTTGTAATGGAATGTGTGTGTGAAATGGGACACATAAGAAATCTGCAGAGAACATGTGAAAAAGAAAGCCAGGTCAAAAGAAGAAAACATTTTAATCATTCAGCTTTTCACAAAAAGGGCTCTAAAAGTGTAATCATCAACAGTAATATTAGATTCAATATTAACTCAAAATTAATACACTTGAATGCTTGGTAATTCATTTTTTGTCTATTTGGATATCATTCTCTATTCATGCTTTGGGCAGCTGCTCTATTTTGATCTGCAGCATTGTAGATAAAATGTGTGTTGACAAGCTTCCTTTTTATGGAACAGTGTTTAAACTCTGCACTGAGAATGATGATTTAAGCCAGGGGATCTCTTTCACCTGCTGATGTCAATAGCATCCTTTACTACCTCAACATATCACTTCTGCATGCACTTTCCATTATAAAATGTTCTTATTTTAATCCCTTCTGCCTGCCTTTATACCTGGCAGATATTTTAGAAACACCATGTATAGTACATTTAGTCTATTTTACATATCACCATATTACCTCTAAGCTGTCATTTTGGTAATGATGAATAAAAATTGGTAAAACAAAAAAAATGTTGTGATAAAAGAAATTTAATAATGCTTCATATCAATATAAATTTACATTTTTACCTTAAATAGTTACAAAAATTGGCAATTTATTGGACACATTTAAATAGCACTGAAAACTGTAGTGCTTTATGTAGCCTCCCTCCTTTTTTGTAATTCACATTTTGTGTTATAAAAAAAATAGGGTTTTTAAAATTTTTCATCTTTAAAATGGCAACATTCATTTGGATATCAATGATGTAAAATGCACTGACAAAAAATAACTCAAGTAATTCTGTGTGTGGTGTCTCAGTTGCTATAAAGTGCCAAATTATGATTGAGAACATGTTAATTAAATCTGTAGAATACAGCTATGTATAACAGACTATTTCCATGTTAATTCTGGTTATGTCAAACTGATTTTGAGAATTTAATGAAAGTATATGACATGCATATTATTTTGTAAATATTCTGTTAACTTGCTTAATATTCCATTCAGTTCCAATTAAGAGATGACATTTCATTGTAGTGAATTTCAGATATAATGAAAGAAATATTTGAGTCTGCTGAAATTAACTATTCACGGACATCGCTATAGACTGAAACGTTTTTGTGACGACATCCGCGACGGGTTTGCAATGTCGTTAAGACATTGCTGTGCTACTTGGGTAATATGTTAGATGTTATACAGTACAAAGTCCGTAATCCGGACTCATCGGGACTTCGGCGATTCCGGATTAGGGGTTTTTCCAGATTATAGATCATGAATTTAAATCTGGTAAGGTTGCATGCAGAAATTATACAATTAAAAATATGAAACCGTAATTTATGAAATAAAGAGCAATTATGATCTAAAGGGTATCAAAATTTACAAAACAAGCGTAATATTTATTTGTTTACTTTATTAAACATTCTTTCGATGTAACTTTCTTCACTATCGGAAGCATGCATGGGTAAACGCTTTACTGGCTTTACGCACATGCGTAAGTTTGTGTCTTTGAGGTCCGGATTATAGATCATTCCGGGTAATGGACGTCTGGGTTACAGACTTTGTACTGTATAAATTTTTCAAAATCTCATATTTTGTTAGATTTTTTAGGGTTTATGTAAAGCTTGGTGAAAGAGATCAATTATGGCCAAATGGCCTGTAGTAGTACAACCCATGAACAAGCTAGCTCCATAGACATGTTTATGGTTTTTCCTGTGTGCGACATGATTTCCAGCTGTTTGAGCCTCCCCAGAAGTATTCTACCCTGCACAGATAACACTCGTTTACTTAATTTAAATCAACTAACTAAAAATGATTGAAAACATTTCATGTAAAAGCAAGGGTGCAGAAAAAAAACAGTCTTTTTATACTGTGTGAATGTAATGAAGAAATGGTGCATTTCTCATGCATTATAAAATTTCGGAGCAGGCTCTTCATATTTGAGCTTGATAACCTCATTACGTAATCCTTAGCAGTATTTCTGTCATAATCTGTAACATCATTTCTGAAATTCTGCCATAGAATTGTCATTGATTTTAAAAAATGCAAGAACTGTACAAATGTAAAATAAGAGTAAGGCCCATCAGTGGCTGAGCAGTAAAGTTGCTGAACACAGGTCAGTCCGAGTTTCGAATCCTAGCAAATGGGAAAGCTGCATTGACGTTTTCATGGTTTTTTCCATGTGTAACCTGTACATAAGCCAGTTTCCCTCTGAAAGTCCTCCACAAAGTCATCCTTCCCTTAGACAGATAGCCCTTGCATGCTTTGCCATAATCAAATAAACCATACCAAACTAAAATAAGAATACCATAAAAAAACTGCTGTGACTGTTAGAGTGTAGTAGTAACCTGTTGCTGCATTTCTGAGATCTGTGGTGAAATAGTGCACAGCAAATTTATACACATATAATAATTAGTAGGTAGAGTTAGTTATGTGGTTGTATGAATTTGTTTCTTAATAACTATTATCATTTTTCTAGTTTGCTACAAAACTTGTCAAGTGTGGATATAGTCAAGTTTGTACCTTACATGGTGGTGTTGAAGTTCTTAGGAAGACGGGAATGCTGATTGCTAAAACATCTGAAAGCTGAAAATTTCATTCCAAGTTATTACAGAATCGTTAATTCTTATTTATAGAAAATGGAACAAAATATATTAACAAAAAAGATATATTACCTTATTTACTTATATGTGTATATATATAAATTTCTTCTATATATATATAACTGAGACTATAACTCATGGCTTGTAAATGTTGCATTGTATAATTCTTATTCCATTTGTGATAAACTAAGTAAAGTTTTTATTGTATACAAATTTTATTTCATTTTTATTCTGTGAAATTTACTAAGTTCATAATATTTAGTTTAGATGTTTGATTCATGAATGAAATGCTGTCTAAGATGTATATTTTCCTACTTTCTCTCTTCTTACCTGATTTCAGAATTGCCAAGCATAAGCAATTTCTTAATATGTGATACTTGACATATGCAATCTATGAAGTTTGCCTGTGAATATAAATATTTTTATTTACCAATAAACTCTATCAACAGAATGTTACAAGCTGAATAATCTGAATGATAAAAACTGTTTTTCACTTATATATATGGCTGGAAAAGTAACACATGTGTTAAACAAAATATTTCCTGAATATCTTGATTCCAGAATATTAAAGTATTATTCTTGCTTTATATTTGATTTACATTTTGATTTAAAATACTCTGCCTTAAAAAAAATTTTCATATTGGAGTATACAGCCTAGTTCTGCCTATGCATATAAAGAATTCACATGATATTTTTTCAATTTCCATGTCTAATTCCTCTTGGATTTGAACATTATGTTCATCAATAAAATATGTTTCTAACACCATGTATTGTGTACCTTTGCAACATGTAGAGTTTTGTAAATTAAAACTGATTAAAAAATATAAAATAAATAATTTTAGATCAATTTGCTGTATTTTATTAATGAGTATGTTTCTGTACTAAAACTGAACTCATTTATGAAATAGTGAGTGAATTGGATGATAAAAAAGAAGAAAAAATTACTACTTTTCTTCATGTAATACAAAATTGCTATCATTTCATTTCAAGATGGTTATAAAAAACTTTAAATAAGTGAAATTTAAAAAAAAAATTAGTACATAAAAAAATATTACATGAAAAAGACATTTTTTTAACCAGAAATCAAACTGCATCTTAAACTGTAAATGATTATGCAACTAACTGACTTTTGAAACAAGGGTAAGTTCCATAGGTTTCCTCAGTTAATGGATGTACTAATAAAAGTTTTGTACATTTGAGATGATGCAGTAAGAGCAATTGCATAAAGCAGATTCAAGATTAGATAAAGCTGTTGATATATGCAGATCTGCCAAAATATGTATGAATAATCCAATGAGAATAATAAAAGATGAAGATGTAAATATGGTGAAAAAGGAACTAAATAAACATAATGAAATGCAGCTGCTGAGGGCAAATGTCAAGAAGCAAGAGAGGGAAGTTTATTCTACATGCAAAAAAAAAAAAAAAAAAAAAAAACATATAAATGTGCTCTGGCATATGTCAGACGTTATAAATTTATAAAGGCATATCAGTGTAAAAGCTATAAAATGAAAACTGATTATTAGTGTGGATAAAAAAAAAATTACCTAATTGAGACTCTGAGGAAAGTCTAGAACTTTATGAAGGAAAACTGGAATTTAGTTCAGATGACAGGTGTCAAACATTTAGAGAGGCAGTTGTTAAAGTAGATAAAAATTAACTTAATTTACAGTTGGATACCACAACAATGTGCAGTGCTGTTACATTGTCTGAGGATGAAATAAGTACTATGGAAAAAATACTACTTAACTGCTGGTTTTGGAAAAATAAATGTGTTGTAGAATTCCAGGTTATAGACAAAGTGTCATCTACATTAAAATTATATCTGCAGCTAGATTTGATCCAAAAAGCAATCTCTCTTTGTACTGGAGATCTGTCTGTATTTGAACAATTGCACTTCTTAAAAGAAGGATATAAAATCCAGTTAAAGCAAGATCCAGTGCCAGTGATTGGTATTCCAAGGAAAGTAAGCATAAAAGATAAAATGAAAATAAAAGTACCATGAATAAGAATTAAAAAATCATTGAGAAGGTAAGAGTGGATAGATAAATTTAATGGTAACTGTTGTCAAATATAATAAAATATGTTTAAATCCTAAATATTTAAAGAAAATGATAAAAATGAACATGCTGCTCTTTTAACCATGGAAGAAATTGCTGCTGGAATACCAAAGCAAAAACATGAAAAAGTAGTGAATTATATATTCTATAAACCCTATAGCAACTTCCATCTCTGCAAAAAGCATGGCTTCCTTATTCTTGAATTAGAAGCATTTTTTATTGTACTGTTTGAAGCTTTAGGTTCAAAGCGTAAGATCTACTTTTAGCACTAGTAGAGCAGCAGTGGACATAGACTTTGCCATCTGTCAATAAACATCGCCAATAATAACTCCAAGGGACCCTTTTCAGCAGTAAATGGTTCTGGGGTAATGACAGTATGCTGCACTGACAGAGCGACTGCCTATGGTAACTGGTGTTGGTTGTGTTTGTTAAGGTTGCATATTACTACATATAGAACTAAAATGCATTTAATATAAATCTGTGAGAAGTTGTATTACAAATACACTAAAGATATTGAAATCAATATTATCAGTTATTGTCCTCGTTATGTGAAGCTCTTACTAGTGGCAAGTGTCTCTTCAGTTGAGTTTAAGAGCATTCCGAATTATTGCCTTGTCTAAAACAGTTTTCAGACTGAATTAACCACACCTTCTTAATTTTCAGTCGTGTTTTACGTCCTTTGGTTCATTATAGTTGAAACTGTATCAGAGGTACAACAGGATCATATGTCCATTAGGCCACCCTGAAATCGAGAGGCTGTTGTGACAAACACTGTGAGATTGCTCAACTTCCTTGACACTGGCCATGAAGTTATGATTCTTGTAACGTCAAGTGCAGCTGTAACTGAACGAATTATTGTTCTGCAATGTCAGAGCCTGTCGTCTCACACCCCGTAACCGCTCGAACACTGTGGGGGACCACATGCATAAGTTTTTTTTTTTTTTTTTTTTTTTTTTTTTTTTTTTTTTTTTTTTTGTGGTCTTCCATAGTTCCAATTGCCAAATATGGATGGTGCCACTAGAGCAACAAAATCCTGCATTCAGAGTTCGCCCATCACATATCCTTTGGCAGTTCCAAATTTAAGAGGTTACCACTTAGCACTTATTCGGCTGTAGAAATTTGCGAAAGAAAGTTGAGCCTAATAGTATTAGCTAAATATGTTATACATGATGTTATTATTCATATATGTATATATTTCTGTTTATTTAAAATTTTTGTTTTGTTGTTTTTGATGCAAAAGCAAAGTTTAAAGTTATAAAAACATTTAGCAGAATTAGCAATAGAAGCTCCCTAAGATTATATACTGTGCAGACATTGAAGACAAAAGTTTTAAACTTAACCAATTTATTAACAATATATATAAAAATAAAAATACAATAAATAAATTTAATCAATATCAGAAACTTAAAGAGTGTAACATAATCATTGTCAAATTACGCTTAGTTGACTGTTCATTAAACCCCAAGGGTTTTTCGTTTAAAGAATATTACACTATTAATGATACAGTAAATATTTTACCTGATCTTTGAATACTGGCATTCAATATGCAAAAAACATATCACAGAACAGAAAATACGCGGTTAATATGAATTTCACTTCATTATCAATAAGTCCATGCTTTTTGGCCAAGAAGGCACCTGAAAAAATTATACTAAACCTCGAGTGCACTTGAACCGGCAAAAGCCGCTCACTGTAGTTACACATGAGAGATCACAGATTGGGAAAACATCGCCGCTAGTCCTGGAAAAACACTTGTATTAAAGATGCCGCCTTCATGAAAATAGGCAGTCGCTCACACCGTAGCCGCCTTGCAGAATCCAGGAAAAGTCATCTCTGGACCGGAACCACGGCACTTATCGCTGGACGGCATGCATCGCAATATCGTCTTCCAATGAGGGCTGGTAACGGCACACCAAGGAGCAATGAAACAGGAACCAGAAGGAATAAGCCAGAGCGACATGAGATACTTATACCTGAAGTAGACAGGACGTCATCTCACGGCAACCAATCAGCTATCGGCACGACTCTGCTTTCCAGATGATGTAACATCAAGTTTCATTTTTGCATCTTAATTAGGCCAGAACAGTCCGTTCTTAATAAAAACAGTGGCTGTGAAGAACGAAGTAGAAGTAATTGCCACATCCCTCTAAAATAAGAACTGAACCTTATGTGAAAGTTAGAATTATTTCAAGGACGAGAGATGATGCAGAAAAAGGGTTACAATAGGTCATATTTTTCAACAGTTTTATATATAGCCTTTATTTCTATATGGTTTTATATATAGCTTTTATTTATTAATTTACTTATTTAATGCATCTTATGTAATGCCACGCAGATAGGGAAGCGCTGACCACTGTACCAAAAGACCTAAGTTCGAATCCTGGAGAAGGCATGGATATTTGTAAATGCAAAGTGTCTATGTGGCATGGGGGCACTCAAAATATGTGCAATATGAAAGTCCATTTGAGAGTTTGGTGGTAGGTGTGGGAAACCCTCTGATCCATTCTCCAGAGTGCTGTCCATCCAAATTGGGGTGAAAAAGCATAAAGTCAGACTGTCACCTTCTAAAAGCAAGCTTTTACACTGCCACTTCGATGAAACAATCATTGTCGCTTAGCGCGAAAGCATAAAGTCTGACCGAACTGGTTTTGTGCACCGCCACTTTTATTTGCGCACATTGAAGGCAGTGAGCATCTTGTTGACATCTTTTTCAAATTCCAATTTTTCTACAAAAGCCTCATGTGTGAATAAGTAAAGAATATACTGACTACAGCAAACTTTTCACAGTTTGATTTCCATGAAATTGAGGTGGTTTGCTAACGAGGTATTCGGCCAGCTTCATCTATCATTCACCAGGTGCTGTAGGTGATCTGTTCCATTTGTTTTGCTCAAAAAAATTATACCATGTGATTTAAAGAACATGTTCTACGACATAATTTGAAAACGTAATTTTGTGTCAACATTAATTAGTGAGGCTGCTTACAGATCTAGTGTGCACGTTCAGACGTGACAACTGTAACCATAAAGAACGATCAAGATCTGCTTTTCTGTCATTTGCGTATGAACGATAATTTTGGTGTAACGATAAAATGATATATATATTTATTCAAGAAATTAGTATATTCAGAGAGTAGTAATTGAAAAATGAAATTAACAAAATGTGCAAAAGTATGCTGTGTATTCGTAAGTAAAGAAATGGCACTATACGGGTAAGTAATATGTTTTAATATTACTGAATGTTATAGTCAATAATTCTGGTATTTTAACAATTGGGTTATTATTCTCACAATGCATTGAGATTTATTTCTAGATGGAATATGTTTGCTTATTGGGCACACTGAATACACTTTAAGTAATTATTAGTGGAGATGATATCTTGAATGTTAAAATTAGCTTTTTCCATAGCATTTGGCGACACACCTGTATGGTGCTCAAGATACTGACTAATGATAGACGCAATCTTGTACATCTTACCACGATAGTAGTTTGTAGGCTTGTTTTTGTTGCATCTGGCAAGTGAGATTAGTAACAGGCAACAATCTTATGTAACAATTTTGTTATGCATATTGTTTCAAAAGAATAAATTGAATTTAAATACAAATTTAATTAATTCTTTGCACCATTGCTGCAAGGAATGAAATTTAAATTTTAACAAACATGTATATATGTAAAAAGCAAATTTAAAGTTAAAATAATTAAAAAATATGCAAACATATAAAAGATTTAATTTTCGAACTAATCTACAATATCATTTAAATTCAGATAGCATAAGTAAATCAAGTGCAAA